GTCAACCAGACTGATTTTTTATGGTGCAGGATTCTAAACGCATGTGAACCTGAGATCATAATTTAATCTCCAAATTCTTGCTGCCAATTACTGATCATCCGTATGAAAGGCCAGGCGACTTTTGTTTCAATGCCCTCCTATACGACTACCACCTGGGAGCATTTATATTTCTAAGAGTAGAATATAAAAGCAGTGTTCGTCAAGCCTATTTCGAAAGTAACCCGATTTAACTAATTGTCACGTTGCCTGATTTCGTGACATTGGGTTCGATCTATAACCATAGAGCTCAAAATGAAATATATGTATAGTTCGATTTATGAACTTAATTCATGTCTTAAAAATAATTTGTAGGGTCAAGACTTGTAAAATGAAAATCAGATTTTAGGTGACAGTTCCGGTCTGTTCTGAATCCCAGAAAAATCACCCAATATCTTTCCCACATATGTTGTCATGTCACACAAATCATTTTTTATGAAACGTTTATTGATCCGTATAAGGCAGTAGTGAAGCACTATACATGCCCACAAATAATGTTGTATGTGGTGTTAGAATGTATTTTTGTTCGACCCATAAAAGTGATGCTGTTTTTCGCCTCCGCGCTGCAGGTGTTAAAATACCACAGAGTCGCAGTCTGCTTAAACAGTTCCGTTGATTAAAGAAGCAAGAAGACAGCGCATCTACGCCATGAGAATCCGGCGAAGTGAGTGAAGATCGGCACTTTGTTACTGCACAAACACCAGCACTTGTGTAGAATAATCATGATGGTAGACGCAGCTTTGCGCAAAACATTTGTTCCTTCTGCTATGCAGCAGTCGGTGATTTACAGTAAATATGTTAGAAGGATACAGTAAATATCGCAAGCCAGAAATGTCCTGCTTTTGCAGGAGTTCAAGGTGTTCAGCAGAAGAATCACATAAGCAGCTACGAAGCTGAGAAAGCATTTCAGCCTTACGTTTTCCACGTGTTCCTAACTAGTGTATTATTTTGTGTTCGTTACCTAACAGGCGAATGAAGATTTGTTCTTCGTTTTAGCTGATATTCGTAAATTTAAAAATACGTTTAAGATTCGTAGTAGAAAGAGCCTCATTCTGCGAAGGCACGGAATTGCCAGAAACTGTGTACGTTTAGCAGACCTGGGCTTTAACGAGTAATAGTGAAGCATCGTTAAACGTGCAGAAGCATGCTGCTAATTGAAAGATTCTCAGAGATTCGATCAGGGATATCATGTGCCGAGGGAAAAAATTTGATGACTTATGGTATGAGTTATAGTAGTCATTGTATCGGTTTAAGTAAAGGAGCGACACGGAACTTCACTGTGCACATGACAATTGACTTGGGTACTGCAATAGTGGCAGATTTGTATCCTACAGGCTGAAGGATAGAAATCTGAAGATTAAGACACACGAAAGCGAGGTAAACCTGAGGCAAAAATTGAGTGTGACTGGCAGACTTGAATATTTTAGTCAGGCAGAGGTAATCTTCGTTAACAGGAACAAGGATCAATCGATTGGTAATTAAGGCACAATTTCATGTAGTAGCCTGTCGTATACACTTCTGGTGACTGTCTATCTCTGGTTAGCCGTTTCCACAGTATCCGCAGTTTTCATTTTTTTTAGTAAGGTGGCAGCGCCACGTTCTGGAATGGCATTGCCATTTTTAGCATTATGTCTCATAAGCAGTAATAGGCAACCATTATCAGTTTTTTGTCTTGCAATATACACAGTATGTAAGTTGTAGAGGTGTAGATTTTTTGCTTTTGAGGATTACAAAATCGTGTTTAACTTTCCCTGATTCGTCATTCGGGCCATGTTAAAAATCTTAGGTCTTGATTTTCGGCGTATTTCGATGCCACTCGTTAGTATCAGAGTAAAAAGTCCTTTCAGTTGGCTTTTTAGAGCAACAAAATTCAAATTTTCTTTTAGCTGATGATTCAAGCATCGTTTGGTTAAGACTAACTGCGATAAAGAACATCAGCAACAGACTTTATTATAAAGACAGTCCGTTGAAAAAGACTTACACACCGTGGTATTGTTTCGTCTTAGTCTTTTCATATAGCATAGCACCCCCTCCCTCCCACCAACTTGCGCTGAGGTAAATCAGCCATGACGCTATCTGTACAACATTACATACGTACATACATACATACATACATACACGCTTTTATTGTAATTTAGAAGATCTATCGCATTACTTGACGAAGTTCCAGTGGGACAGCGCAAAATATCCTATGAAGCAGAACCTGCGCAATTTGACGGAAATCATAAGCAAGGTAAAGCTCCAAGTAAAAACTTGCACCTGGCGATTGTTTTCATGCGACTGTTTTAGCAAGTGTCACAAATCGACGCCGACCTGAAGACCAAGGCAACGGCGTATAACAACCTTAAGAACAACCTATCTGCGCTTGAGAGGAAGGCGACGTAAGTAACGATGAAACGGATGCTGGAAAACTGAAAATTAAATACGGTATATTTGTCCACTGCTTCCCTCATCTGGAGGTAACTGGGTCCGTTAACACTGCGCTATTGTCTCATCTCTTCACTCTTAGATTCCCTATGAATATTTAATAAAGTCATGACTTCCTGATGTTTTTCTGCTTCTTGCAACTTTGGCCAGCTCTAATTCAAACCAGTGCAATTTACTTCGTGAATCAGAAAA